GTTTCTGTTTCCTGGAGAATGGTAGTTAGAAACCAAAATCTGGGCACTAGGTATGCTTGTTGCTATAGGAAAAGATATATTTTTTTTTCTGTAAAGATGGGTCATGCTGTGTTGCCTGAGCTGGTCTAGAACTCTTAGCTTCAAGCAGTCCTTCTTCCTCAGCCTCCCAAAATGCAGGGACTGTAGGCATGAGCCACTATGCCCATCCTGAGTTGCTTTTTAAAAAATTTTAGCATATTGTCAAGTTTCTGTTTCCTTTCTTGAGAACGTCACATACTAAATAAATGTATCTGTGTGTAATAATAAGTATTAATAAAAATCTTGAGCACATTTCACATTTATTTTAATGTTAATAGCTCTAAATATAGTAACTGGGAAAAATTTGAGTGACATATTACTTCATGTTTTTTATAGGCTAATTTTTAGAGTATTAATGGTTTTTTGTAATTAACTGCCTGGCAGTTTAGGTAAAGTTTACATGTTTTAAGAGGTTTTCTAAAATGATTGAAGTTTTAAAAAATTAATTTTTAATTAAAATAGTTAAAGTAGTAAGTCTGTTAGTTGAGTTCTGAGTTTTTATACTGTATTTTTAAAAAGAACTTTTTGTGAAATATGAAACATATACTAGGTGAAGAAATAGAATTTTGCCGGCACCTCAAAGCCCCCCATGCTACCTCTCAAACACTATTTATTCCTCTTCTTCCTCCAAATGCAACCACTATCTTCTCTTACAACAATAATTCTCTTGCTTTTCTTTATACTTTTATCACCCAACTGCGTATCCCTGAACACTACAATTTAGTTTTACCTGCTTTCAAAATATTCATATCAATGGATTTCAACAATACGTGTTCTTTTGTGTTTGGCTTCTTTTGCTTGTTATTATGTTTGTGAGTCAACATTACATGTAGACAGAGTCCAAAAAGTGTAAATTACGTTGGGGAAGTGGAATAGGGAAAATAGTAAAGCGACTTAGGAGTTAAGATGCATGTTTTACTTATGGCTTTGCCTCTAAACCAGTAAAGATGGCTTTGAACAAGTCACTTGAACTCTTAGGATTTCATTTTTTTTCTCTAAAACATGACAGAATGGGTTAAAATGTTTGATAGGATTCCTTTGGCTCTAAAGTTGATGAAATTGGATAAATAAATATTACCCTAAGCTATCCTTAATGTTTTTCATTTTTGTTTTCATTAGGTTGTCTTGGAGATACCCAGTTTTGTTTTAGATTTCGACAGTCTTCTGGGAGGAGGGTATCACTGCATTGTCTCCTGGATCAATTTGACAAAGATTTACCAGTTTACTTAAAGGTTGGAAAAGTGCTCATAGAAATGTCCATGTGAGAGTAAACCTTAAAACTCATTTATTCAGTTACCTCTGATAGCATCAGAAACATTTTGCTTTTGTTTTGTTACTGTATTATATATAGCTGGATTTTCTCAGTGAGTCTTATTCGTAAGGAATCGCATGTCAATGAAAGAGACTTTGTAAAGTTACTATTCTTGAAACATAATGCCATTGTGAATTATAGAAATGGGTTAGAATGTTGAGGTAATATTCTTTCATTTGTTAATAATACTTGGTTTAGATGTGGGAGTAGAATTTACTATATAGTAATATTAATATCATCCAGAGCTGAGGGGGTTATTCCTTATGGTAGTCCCTGTGTACTGTATGATAACATATAGGTGTCTCTTTTTGATGTTTTAATGAGCTTTGTTTTACAGTTATTATTTATTAAAAATTTTTAATAATTCAGATGATTTTAGAACCTGTAGGTTTTTCTCCTTGGTACTCCATGCTTAGTTCTCTAACTGGATGAGGAACATTTCCATCTGGATGTTGTGCCTTCACATCTAATGTGAACTTGACATTCATTGTTTGCCTGATACTAGCTTTTACAGTTTACCTTCCTGGTTCCACTAATGGCAGGAACCTCTCTCTCAGCCAAGACACTACCTGTGAAATGTCTCTTAGAGCCATCTATTCCTTTTGATGTCCCATTATTACCACTACTAACATATTCCAACTGAGGATAGTAATAGCTATTATTTATTCAGGCTTTTTATGTTCTAGGTACTGTATTAATAAGCATATGTTATCTCCATTAATTCTCCCCGAGAGAGTTCCTTTTGCAGATGAGGGGGTTATTGAGGGTACGAAATTTGCCCAAAAAACATCCCACCTCTTGTTTCTTCCAACACC